CATAGTAACTTCAACTTACACTTATGAAGTATCAAGATAATTATATGCTAAAAGTGTTTACTATATGTACTTCCTAATACCAGTGCTAGATGAAATATTATAACATGATTTTATTTGATTGTTTGTATATATATATATATATATATATATATATATATATATATATATATATATATATATATATGCTAATAATACATTTGATAGAAAGGGGATGATAATGATGAAATACATGAGATGAAATGATGATAAGATGAGAGGCCTTGACTTTATAGATGCTCTAGTCATCTAGCGGAGTATCTATGATGACCATGGACTATTCTAGGCAATCCAGTGGAATGCTAGCAAGCTCGGAACCTGTAGGTGTTTTTGAACTACGTGTTCACTAAAGATGTACTCCATCCCCCTGGTTGCCTTACTAACATGTATTTTCTAAGGAAACCCCTAAGCAATGTTTTCTACCCTAATGCTTATAGTGATACTTATGATAGGTCCTTTCAAACTAGTATTTAGGGTCATAATGTGAGGATAATGAGAATGGGTAATCCGGTTGAATTGTTTGATGAGAAGAATATAATTAAAGAATTCAAATATTGTGGTTTGAAACCCTATGTGCTCACCAGACTTCCCCAAGTATGACACACTCAGTTTCCTTGTATCCCACACATCAATACGAAAACACTTGTGTGTTGAGATGATTCTAATGAGTAGATAATGGAATGTATGACAATAGATTAATGTACTATTGTAAGGCTTGAAATCTTTCATTTATTTTTATGTGTTGTATTGGCAATGACATCCCAAATTTTTAAATATAAATAAACCACATTTCTTCGAAAATACTTTTATAATATTATTATCATGTTATTTTGAGAAAAAATTCCGCATTATAATTCTTTAGAAAGGATATTCTGAATTTCCGTAAGCATAAATAAACCGTTCTTTTATGGCCATGAAATTGGGTATGTCACAATAATACTACATGGAAATCTTAATAGTAGTGTTATTGCTTAAATGATTAAATGTATATTGAAAGTTTAATATTATGTGCTAAATGTATACCATATAGTATCATAACGCCTAGTTCCTATGTACAATCTTTAATTCCTAATAATATTTTTTTAGTATGGTCTATCTACACAGGGCGTATAAAGCCTCTCTACGTAGGTCATAGACCATTAAACACATGTAAGGGTTTTATGCCCTATGTGGGGCGTAACCTTGTGTATGCAGGGTGTAGGAGCGCAGTCACCAAAAACCTAATTAAGTTTTGTGAGCCCTATTTAAAGCCCTTATATCCTTGAGAGATTTCTCAAAATTAGCCTCCACCCTCATTTGCACCATCAACAAAACCGTAGCCACCTTGTGAGGTCCTTGAAGCATTTTGAGTAATATTTTGTGAATTTTGTGAACAATGAGATCTTTGAAGGAACACTTGGAAGTCTAGAGCTTATAGATCCTAACCTTTTTATTCCTTAACATCCTCCGTAAGGCATAAAGTCTAAACCTTGCTAATCCATTTGTTAGATCTAGCTAGTTATGAGTTTTTATGAGTTTTTGTCCCTTAATATCGGTTCAATGAGTACGAGCAACTCCATACCTCATGAGTGGTTTCTCGTATAAGTTTTTAGCTCAGGATGTCATAAAAATGGGATCTTGGTCACCCCCATTCATCATGTATGAACATTTGAGCTTTTGGGACATGTTCAGGATTTAGGGATTGATTTTGTGCTCTTTGAAGCCATACAAAGGCATAAAGTTTGCGACTTTATCATTTAAGATGTACATTAGGTCCAAATCAGAGAGTTGGACATTTGGTCTTAAGGTATTAAGGTATTAATATGAAAGTTGGAAAGCAGCATGATATGTAGGGAATAATCCTGGCTACGCATTGGATAGCCTAATTTTGTCTCGTTTTTCTATCGGCAGGATCTATGTGATGCATAAAGCAAGAGTACGCATGACGTAACTCAAGAAGACCAACTTTTGTTCAAGGTGTATGTTAGGTCAAGATGGTGGGTCCTGACCATGGAAGAGTAAAATGGTATTTTACCTATGTAGGTCATTCAGAAACAAAGACTTTTGATTGGCATTGTTACCTAATTATAGTTAGTGTTTTATGATGTGTTGTTTAGTGTGGGGAGTTCCAATCTTGGCAGCTTGAGTGTGTGATTCATTTTTCTGACTTTAGATTGAGGTGAGTCTTCTTACTCTACTCGTGTGTTGAAGGCACTAATTTCGACCCACTAGTTTGTGCTAGTTGTCTTTGTGGCTCTTACATGTCTATATTGGGATGGGCCTACTATATATTGGGTTGGGCCCATTATTTGTTTGTTGGGTTGGGCCCATTATTATGTTTGTTAGGCTGGGCACATTTATTGTGCGTTGGATCGTGCCTATTTATTATTGAGTTGGGCCCATTTGTATTCTAGGTTGGGCCCATTTATTATTGGGTTGGGCCTATTTGTTGTATGTTGGGATAGACCCATTTTCTTGTTTGGGCTGGCCAATTTATTTTATATGTGCTATTTTGGGGAACTTGCTAACCTTTGTGCTTACGATTTTTGTGGTTTAACATTTTCAGGTACTTCCAGTTTGAAAGGGAAGGGTCCGGCATGATTGCACATCATCCGCTTGTTTTATTCTGCTTTGACTATTAATTTCACTCTAATGTTGGGAATACTTTGTATTATGGTTGTTTCGAAAAAAATTGATGATATTTTGGGTGTTTGAAAAATAAACATTTGTCGACTGTTTTTGTGATATTGCAAGTTGGTATCAGAGCCTTGGTTGAGGGATTTTGGAACACTTTCGGGTGTGTTAGAACTTGAACTAAGTAACTAATAATCTTTTTAAAAGAAAATTGAGTTTTCTATAAAGATTTTTATAAAAAAACGGCGTGACACGTGCAATCAGTCGAGCTTGAGTAAGTGATTCCCAAAATACATGTACCAATGTGTTATGACTAGTATGCCTGATATGTTAATTGCATGATAAAGAAGGGCTAAGGATACCTTCAGGAATCGTATGCTAGAATTATTTGATTTGTGTGTGAAGGTTTGTATCGATCGGATACACTCAAGTCTGAATAATGAAGAACGAAGACAAACAAAGAACAAGATGATCACAAAAATACTTTCACTAAGAAATAGATTCTCACAAAGAGAACAAGTCACAAAGACGACACCAAGCTCTATTGGGGTTTAACCCTAATAGTACAATATATATTGTTATAGAAACGAAGATCACACTAATTTATACTAATCTATGTAAATGTCTGACCCTAATCACAAAGATTACGGTTCAAATATCTATTCTATAGATACAACGTATAACTTCCTAATATACAAATTATCATTGGGATCATTGAGTTCACGTTGATGATGATCAAGTTGGTACTGGTGGTTAACATGTAATGTGTTTGACACATCAGATCATAAGGTATGAACTTACAATCTCTAATGATGTCAAAATTAATCTTCAAGGTAGTCACCATAATCATCATTGGAGAACTTTTTAGCCTCAGTCACAATATCAGGCTTCAACCACATAAAGTGATCATGATGAAGATCAACCAAACGCTTACTAAGTTCAAAAGAGATTAGTACATGATAGCCTTGTTCTAGTTCTTTATGTCACATACCCTCCAAATGAAGATTGTACAGATGCTCAGTGGGAGCAGTAGGAAGATCTTCAGTGCGTTGAAAGCACATTTGGTTCTTACTATCAAGGTAGAAGATACCATGTTCTGGTTCCTAAATTAAGATGTGTTGAACTTGCTTAACACCCACTAACAGCTTGTTGTTTATGTATGGGGTGCCATACGAAATAAGTAACCTTGCATATTTGGACATCCTCGGCTTTCTAGTTCTTTTTGAGGTGTATGGATGAGATGGACCTGCTGAAGGCACCAAGTTTAGTTTCTTCACTTTTGTTGATTAAGTTTTGAATTGCCAATTTTACATCCCAAGCATGAGCACCTTTATGTTTAGAAATTATCTCATGAATTTGTATCCACTCATTGTAGCCATATTTAAATAACTCACAAGAAAAGATAACTTTAGTTCATTGATACTCTACCTTCTTTCTGACCATATGAATTTTGAGTGATTCATTCTTGGGTTTAAAGCACCCGACCTTGATAATGGGATCAGATTGATATCTTTGGGCTATAACATCTCTAAATTCCTTCCAGTTGATTCGATCATTCAACTTAGAGACCGTGTTTCATTTGGCCACATCAATATTGAAACACTGAATATTTGTCTGTTGAGCATCAGCTGATGCAAGGATCTGAGCAAGTTTGATAGATCGAATTTCATCTCTTCTTTTTCAAACAAAAGGATTATGATCCAACATGATTTCTCTGACCTCCTCAATGTTTATTTTCTAGTTTTCGGCTAAATATTCCAAATCAATTGTTAGCTTGCTTTTATTTGAAGGAGGAGGGGCTGAAGAACTACCAGCGGCTGAGGAGCTTCTAGCTTCAACGTCATTTTCTCCCCATTAGAAGGAAGCCTTCCTTTTTTCTTGGATTGAGCTGATAATTATCGTTAGACTCAATGTCGTTGTGATTTCCTTGAGGAATCTCCCCCTATGAATAGGTATATGGGTAAACAACATTTAAAGGAATAGCAGTCGGTGCCATGAAATCCAAATCAAGAAATCCTTCATAATCATCATGATCAGTGACAGACTGATCATCATCAACTTCTAGATTAGGCTGATCATCATTCATTGTTTCATTTTTCCTTGGTTATCATCCCTTCTAGATTTAGAGTGATCAATCTGTACTGGAGTTACAGTGGTCATCATTAGTTCTTGATTATTCTCCCCCTTTTTGGCATCATCAGTTTGAGTAAGAGGGTCATAAGGTGGAGAGGGAGTGTGAGGACAGAGATTTGATGGTGGTGGGGAAGTGGATTATTACCAGATGGTGGTGGTGGTGGCGGTGGTTGATTATCATCTGGTGAGCTAGGAGGAATGTCTTCAATCATCACATCCTAATCATCATCAACCAAAGCTATTATGTGCTTGATGCTAACAACATAATTCTCAACTTTGGTCAGTCTTTTTCTAAGAGATTGATTCATGTAAACTAATAGGGAGAGTTGGGAGAGAACAATTGATTGAAAGTTGGAACTATACTCCTCCTGAAAGGTAGCAGTAGTACATATAGGAATTGCAATTGGAGGGATAGTTATAGCTTGAGGAGGAGGAGACGCTGGTCTTGGAGAATTCACAACATGAATTAGTGGATAAATGGTTTCCACATGAGGTGAGGATGATTCATGTTATGCTATACCTTCTGCAAAAGGAGGTGAAGGAGAAGACGAAGAAAAATGAATGTGATTCTTTAGTCTTGGAGGAGAATTAATCATCATTCCATGATCAGAGGCCTCTACCATATCATTGTCTAATGAATTAATATCATCATCAGATTGGTATTCTTCATCATTACCCTCATTATCCTCTTCTTCAGAGTCATAGGACTCAACAACATAAGGATTTGCAACCTAATCCTCCATCCGCTGAGTAAGATGCATAGCTTCATCAATGGGGCTGGCATTTATAATCTTTGATGAAAGCCTTGGAAGCTGTATTGAGATTCCATGGTTGATATTGTACCCTTCTATAGTGCAAGCTATAATTAATCCAAGCCAACGAGGATATGTAACATGATGGGTTTTGAGCACTACACCATTCCTATGGTGTACATGCACCCCTAATGCTTTGGATCTAGGTTTTTCTCAAGTTATACATGCAAACTATTATCCAAAGCATGAACCCTAATCTAGCATACAATTTTCAAGATTTATAACTAAAAAAGTTAGATGAATACCTTTTCCTTGTAGCTTGAAGATCTTGACCTTCAAGAGATTAGTGCCGCAATTGTTGCACCTCTAACGAGTCACAAACACCAAGTGTAAATTGGAAGAATATGAGAGAGAGGGTGAGGTTCTAAAAATTGGCTAGGGTTCTTTTCTTAAGTGCATTGGACGATTTCAAGGAGCCAAGGGGTTCCTTATATAGCTGAGCTGCTAGGGTTTCAGGAAAAACCCTAATCTGATTGTTTAAGCCTTAAGCAGTCCATTAGATCCTTCCAGAAGGCCCCCTGTGGACGCGATCTATGTGTGTTAAACATAGAATTTAGTCCACCCCTTCCTAGGGATCCATAAACCCAACTTACAACTATCATATAATTGCATTATTAGTCCCCGTAATTTAATCAGTCTCTTTTGATCACCAAATTAATTCCAAATTAATTTCTGATCAATACTAATTAAATAATATGATTTCTCAATTAATATGTTATTCTTATAATATATTAATAAATCACAATTAACCTCTTTCTCTATAATTCATCCTATCAAATTGTTATTGTGAAGGCAACCCAAAAGGACGATGCTACTATCTGGTCAAGTACATACCAATTATAGTTATGAGCTTAAACACCTAATCCAACAGAACATTGGATAGCTTTTTGTTCTTAATGATGCATTCAACCAATTAATCAAAGAAGAGTTGAGCAAAATCTAGTATTTTGTTGGAAGCCATATCATACACAATTCATTGCTCTAACCGGTTAACCTGGTCTAAACTACCAGTCTTATGTCGAACACACTTGCCAATCACCCTTGTCAAATACTTCTAACCGACATAATAACATTAATGAAGGGCATATTTAGTTAGATCACGAGTAGCACCCCGAGGAGAGAAACTATACTCTAATTTGGGTCGACGAGACTTGCAATTTTCTTCATAAGGTATTTTAGAATAGTGGTCTAATTGAGGTTGACGTAAAGTAATTTAAAAAGAGGTGGCACTGATAACAACCCTAGAATGACCATCTCTAATAGTTCCAGAGATAGTTTGATTATTGACATTGATATGCAAGAATATAGACCTTACATACTTGCTTAGGATAGAATGGCTCCGGAAAATCACATAATGCATAGTGAAGAGGGCAGCTTTTGACATAGTTGTCAAAGTATTTGATCCGTGAGTTCTTGAATTGATTTGGGATGATATCCGTTAAGGCGACATTTTTTGCTTGGATGACAATGGGAGTATTAGGAGCATGGGTTCCTTTGACCACATTAGCATTAGGAGAAAATACATAGAGGACATTCGACATGATGAAATCTTGATCACTCGAAACGAAGAGGATGAAGATCGAGATAGCCTTTGTGAGGGAAATTTGACTTCTTGAATGAGTTGTAAAAGTGACCTAGGAGAGAATGTTATCCTAATTTATCCATGAATTTTCTTCCTTTTTATGTAATCATGATTGGAGGAAGCGGCGCCATAAAAATCTCGTATTTCAAGATGTTATTGCATATATTTAATCATCATCCAAAAGTTACCGTTGAGTTAAGTGAATCATGTATCATTGAGATATAAAATCAAAAATATGAATCATCACCGGAAACGATCAACATATCAGAGTTGCATTATCAGAGGATCAAAGTTACAGCTGATGAACGAGTGAGATTGTGATGTCGCATAATAGCCTACATTTGTGCTAGCATTCACTAACATGGTATTGCAAATTCTCATCAGCATATGGTTTTATACGCTACATAATTAACTTCTTTTATTACAAGAATAAAGGGTCATAATGGGATGATGCATGTAATACATTCCAATACAGAATGTACCGACCAGAAAAGAATGTCGAAGTTTTATCAGTGTATGGCTAATACAGTGAATCATCAACTTCTTACGTGTAATATATCACGTTACGTGATATACCCATCAGCATAGAGTTTTCAAATTCTCATCAACGTCTCGTTTCATATGCTGAATAATAAGATTCTAAAGGAGAATGTATGGCTCAAATGGATTGGTGCATGTGATAGGTTACGATACGTAGCCTAACCATCGACACATATTTTTCAAGTTTTCATCAGCTATGATATGTTACATTGAATCATGAAACTTTTAAAAAGAAAATAAGGAAAGAATGGATTGGCATGCGTGTGATACCCTACAGTACATAGACTAACCATCGACACAAAGTTTCGAACCTTCATCAATGTATGGTATATCACATTGAATCGTTAAGTTTTATTTAGAATAAGTTAAAGGAGAGAATGGGGTGTTTCAATCATGCTAAGGTGAAATCAACGTGAATCGTAAATAATGTAAACTTATCAACATGAAGTGGTTTATCCTCTGTATCATAAAGTTAAGTTATAGTATAGAATTTAAAATTCACCATCAATTCATTTAATATGGTACAAGCTATTAAAATAATACAAAATAGAATGAATCAAACAACATAGTTAGTCAAGCAAGGAAGCTTTTTAAAGGTGCAATTTGTGCATCTTTTTTTAAAATGAAATAATGACCTGATTTAGCAAATCTTGAATTTAAGGGCCATAAAGGAATTTCCTTTCTCCAAGATATGTGACCTTCAACACTATCTATAAAAGGATACACAATCAAGATCAGATGCACCAAAATAAAACACAATTCACAACAAATAAGGAGAAAATGCTTTTAATCATAGAAGTATTACAGATAGATTCAAGCTTCATGTTCACCAAGAATAATGGAAAAACAAGAACTAGTATTTGTAACCAACAAGTTAATGAAATCCAATCTTTGTAACATTTGAGTTATGTGAGTCACCAAGAAAATACTCAAAGGTTCCATTCTTTGTGATTTGTGATAGAATAGATGAGAAGCACTATCTTGTTGAAGAGGTGTTTGGATCTTAGATGGGAATCAGTGTAGCAGTGAGGGTGTATATCGAAATTGATGGGTTTGAGCCATAATAACTTTCCTATGTGCACATGCAAACCCTATTACTTAGATCTAGGTTTATCTAATTAAACATGCTTTGTATCCAAGACTTTGAATCATAGATCTAGTGTAAAAAAGCAATTCATAACATATGAAATCAAATATAGAAGAATACCTTGAGTTACTTGCTTGAAAACTTCTTTTCCTTGGAGCTTAGAGTCACAATTGTCATTCCTCTAATGGCTTACAAACACCTACTACCAAGAAGATGATTTGAGAGAAGGAGAGAGGTGAGAAATCGGCTCTAGGGTTTCGTCAAAGCATAGAGTGGCCGATTTCTCCTTCCCTAAGGGTCTATTTATACTATGAGCTCCTAGGATTTTACCTTAAACCCTAATCGGATAACTTAGCCTCAAAGAAATCCAAAGATCCTTCTGGATAAGGCCTTGGACAATTTCTAGGATATCCATATCCTTAAAATCGTCCCTTCCCATATTCATAAGAATTCATAGCCTAAAACACAACTATCACACATTTGACAGTTTATGCTCCTTTATTTAATTAATCTCTTTAAGTCACCAAATTAATTCCTAATTAATTTATGACTTATATCAATCAAATAATATTATTATTCTTTTAATATATTATTCTTATAACACACTAATAATAATATTTCTCCTATCTATATAAATCACCTTGTCAAGTTGCTGTGGTGAAGACAACCCAAAAGGACCATGCACAACCGGGTCAAGTACTTACCAAATATAGTTACAGCCTTAAACACTAATCCAACAGTCTCCCACTTGGATAAGTCTAGTAACTATAAATGCAAACACAATCCGATTAGCAATTGTAGCTCTCAAAGATGTTGTCAACTCTGATCTTATCAGTAACCTGTCCTTTAGATAAGGGATCGTACAGTCCTCTATTTAGATATTGTGCGAACAATCTCATGGAACCAATTGTCCAACAGTTGGTTTCTCGATCTCAGATTTATTTGACATAGAACTTAATTGAACACATCAATTCAGTCCTGACCGGGGCCGACACATAAGTCAAATAAAATCATCGAGCGGCTGTGATATCGCTTTTACCCTCTTAGGATAGAAGTAACAGATAAACTTCGACTTATATGCATTTACTTATTCACCAATCAATTATACACAACAATGCGTTTTATAACATCAATTTACTGATGCGGTTTCGCATTATCAATGCACAACCAATTAGCAAATAATAAACCATATATCTAGGTTTTAAGACCATATGATATTATCGTCTTGCGATCACTTTTGTCACATTCCATAAAGTGATTCCAGCAAGCGCAGGTTTATTCCAATGCTCAAAACTTGTTCATAAGCACTCATGAACGTTGCAGCAAACCTTTTGTCACACCCCAAAACCGGAATGGCGGAAACGTTCTGGGGTGGATGACGTCATGTCAAGTATCACAACATATGCAGTATAGTAATCAAAGTACAAGAACCATTGCATTAATAGTAATAGTTTTACATGGTTTACATTACAATACATCATCAAAGTAATACAAGTAATAATATAGGTGCAGCTTGGTACTAAACTGTCTTCATCAAAAGTTTCGGGGATGTACCTGTCTATTGCTGACCTGAGAATACAAGTTATTTGAAAAGCGAGTATCAACATTTTTACAAATGCTGGTGAGTTCATAAGTATTTAGTGTCATTTTATCCAAATAACCTTATATAAGTAGTATTTTTAAAGTATACAGTGGATTAAAGTCCTTTCTAGAAAATCCTATATTTTCTAATTAAAAGCAGTCTTCTACCAAGACTGGACAGAGTTATGTGGTAAAAAGTAATTTTTCCTTAACACTATCATTATCAAAATGTGGTATTGATTTTGAAAGAAAGTAGGAGAATATCAGGGAAAATAACATACGCCTCAGCAGTGAAGACTGCTGACTAAGGCAAAAGAAATCATAGACTCCAGGGGAGTATCGAATGAACGATACGCCTGGCTCAATCTAACAAAAGGAAGACACAAACCCTAGACAGTATCAAATGAAAGATACGTCTAGCAAGGTCTAAAAACGGTGAACACAGACCCCAGACAGTATCAAACGAATGATACGTCTAGCAAGGTCTAAATACAGTGAACACAGACCCTAGATAGTATCAAATGAATGATATGTCTAGCAAGGTCTAAATACAGTGAATACAATGTTAATTTCCATTACCTTAAGGCCATGAATTATAAGGTAACCCTGAGATACTCGCAACCATACTGATAGACACTAGAGAACTTGACGCCCTGCAAGCATCGATAATAATGTGATATATGTCACCCTTTGGGCTTGGTAGGTCGGGGACTGTAGCTAGCAGTCAGGGTGCGGGGGTGTCAATCCCGTATAGATCTATACACATAATGCCCGCTCTCCCTACAAGAGACTCTGGTTACTATCCTGACAACGGAGAAGGCCGTGTACTGAAGATGTATCTCGTGTAGTGAGATCTGATGTGAAGTACTGGACTAATGATAGAGACTCACAACTGAACTGACTAATGTAAACCTATATGTCTATGCTTGTATACATAATGTATAACTAATGATCAAACGACCTTCGGAAGGGTATTCGATCCCACCAGACCACATCTAAACGAAGAAAAGGAAATAGGGCGAACTAGCCTTCCTAAGTCCTTTAAACATTATTTATATAACTATACAAGCATAGGCATACATTTAACTAAGTTTAAGTGTTTAACGAAGTAGGAATGTTTCACACGGTATAAGAGTTAACGAATAGGGGTGTATCGTGAAGTAGAAGCGTATCGTGAAGTATAAGCGTATCACGAAGTATAAGTGAATCGTGAAGTTGAAGTGTATCATGAAGTATAAGCGTATCGTGAAGTATAAATGAATCATGAAGTAGAAGTGTAGCGTGAAGTATAAGCGTATCCTGAAGTATAAGTAAATCGTGAAGTATAAGTGTATCATGAAGTATAAGTGAATCGTGAAGTATAAGTGAATCGTGAAGTAAAAGTGTATCGTGAAGTATAAGCGTGTTGTAAAGTATAAGCGTATCGTGAAGTAAAAGTGTATCGTGAAGCAAAAGTGTATCACGAAGTAAAAGTGTTAACAAAGTAATAGTATTAACTACAAGGAAGTATAACGAAGTAGTAGTATCCAACAAAGTGGGAGTATAAAACATGGAAGAAAACTTTGATGAAATCTTTGGAAAACCTTTATACTTTAAGAAAATCATTCATAAACAAGTTTTGATTGTAACCTTGATAAAGTAGAGAAAACCTTTGTTTAAAATGCTGCTGTAGCAGAGTTTGAAAAAAAACATACAGCATGAGTGGTAATTTGAGAAAAGCTTTGGACACATAAAGACGTTTTAGGAAACCA